TTTCCAGGTCAGTGGCTTAGAAAGACAAGAATAAGGCCCCCAGCCTGACAGCACATCACAAGAATGACTAGGTGTTCTGACATTTTGGACCAGAACTGCACTTGTGAGGTAATCAGGGAAGCTTTAAGGTGTGTTTAACATAAAAAGCCTGAGTTGGCAGCACCCTGCTTTCACTGCACTGCATCATTTGGGCTACAGTGAAAATCTGAGTCTTCTATAGGACAGATTAATTTAGATTAAAATCTTGAGAAGCTCATTTAAAAGTATCTCATAATACCATAAACTGAGATAAAATGGATAATGATATGCTTACACAGACAGCCTTTGAATTGGCTTTTCAAAACTCTTCTTGTTACTCTGTAGCAAATTCTTAACTTGTTTAGTATTGTGGTTCATTCATTCCTATCATTCTGTGGAATTGGGACTGTGTCTTATTGGGACCAGAGTTTAGAATGGCAATTCTTACATAGAACAATCATTATCTATAGGTGTCCTTAGAATGGATTGAATATTAGTGAGGTAATGTGGATCCAGACTGCTTAGACCATGCAGTTTTATTTTAGAGATCATTTTAAACTTTAAACAAAGAACTTGACCTTCACTGTAAGTGCCAAAATAGCACCAAATAAAACTAAATAATGATGGTTGTGGCATACCCCAGGAAGGAAAACTATGCAGCCTCTAACAATTACAGTGTATAAAAAGTAACATGTAGAGGAGATGCATTGAAATTGCAAAATGTCCTCAATAAATTTTCTTTAATAGTGCATATGATTGATGTGTGTGCATGTGTGCACACCAGAGCACTTAAATGTGGAGGTCAGTGGACAACTTTCTAGAATCCCTTCTCTCCATTCACCATGAGTTCCAGGGATTGAACTCAGGTCATCAGGCTTATGCAGTAAGTGCTTTTACCAGATGAAATATCTCACTAGCCTAATAAATTGGGTGTTTTTTTTCCCCAGAAACACACAATAAAGTGTACAGAATAACTGTATTTACAAATGCATGCCATTTTGAAAAGAGAAGAGAAATATTCACAAAGATTATTTCATAGTGAAACTTTCTCTGTTCTCTTAGTAATGAGATTATTGGTGGTTTTTCTTCTTCCTGATGCATACTTTTCTTCTTTAAGCTTAAGGATATTTATGCTCACTTTATCAGTTTTGTAATTTAAAAATGTAATGTGTACTATATAAAGAAATACACAAAGGCATGGCACACTGTTATAATACTCTGTAGTTCAGGCTTTTATAAATTTACATGGGCCTTACTAGTTAAGTTAGTTCAAATTTTTGCATATTATACTGTGAATTGACTACTTAAACCATTTGAACATTGCAACATGGACCAGGCATGTTTATTCTTTGTGCTGTTTAAAAAGGATGATGCTAATGTACAGGAAGTTAAAGATGATGAGTCAGCATGACATGACTTGAAGCTAGTTGTACTTCTTGAGAATTGAGCGCTTACAAACTGTGTGCATGTGTTTCCAATAAAGATGCATTTGCCACTGTAGAAGATGACTTGGTTTAGCATTCTGTGCTTTGTTTTCACACTGCTGTTTACTCATTGCAGCTTGTTAGACCTGAAGTGGTTCCCAAGTCTTGAAAGACCACCCCTCACCAGATCAGTCTCCACCAGGGTATCCACATTTGGAAGCTTAGAAGGTAGCTCTTGTCACCTCAAAGGTCCATTTAGAGGATCTCAAGAATCATGTCCACACCTGTGTCATAATGTGTCCCCTTAGCACCTTGTTCACACTGACCTTATAGCATTGGCTGTGTATTTGTGTAGTTGTTTGTGAATCTGGCACCCCCAGGAAACAAGACATCGTAGGAATTATCATCCTAATAATTACCATCTGTTGAATGCTTACCATGTGCCAAAACTCCACTCCTATGTTGCATACATTGATTTGAACCTCTTATTTTCTCCATGTGAGAAGTAGAAAAACTAAGGCATTGTTTTTAAGCAAGCTAAGATGCAAAGATAGAACTGTGAACTGTAGAAAAAGAACTAAAACCTATGTTGTTCTCAGTGAACCGGACCGGTTTAGTGATTATATTAGTTACATTTATGTTGCCCTGACAAAACACCTGACAGAAGCCACTTAATGGGGGAGACGTTAATTTTGGCTCATGGTTTACAGGAATACAGTCCATCATAGTGAGGAGGGCTCAGTGGTAGGAGCAGATCGTAGCTCTGGTAGCTGAAGCATTGGGACAGCCGATGACCTCATGGTGTCCATGCCCAGAAGCCAAGCACTCACACCAGAAGTGGTCTGGGCTATGGCTCTCAAGGCCCTCGTAGTGGCCTAAATCTTCCAGCCCTACCTCCCAAAGGTTCCACAGCTTCCCCAAACAGGATCACCAGCTGGGAACCTCATGTCCAAACACATAAACCTGTGAAGTTATTTCACACTATAGCATTCCTCCCCTGGCCTTCAGAGACTCATGGCCATTTCTTTTTCTTTTTTCTTTCTTTAATTTTATGTGTATGAGTGTATTGCCTGCATGGATGTGAGTGTACCTGTGTGCGGAGATCAGAAGAGGGCTTTGGATTCCCTTGGAACTGGTGTTAAGGACAGTTCATAGCCACCATGTGGGTGCTGGGAATTGAACCCGGGTCCTCTGCAAGAGCAGTCACTGCTCTTAACCACTAAGCCATCTCTCCAGCCCTGGCCATTTCATAATTAGTATAAATACATTCAGTCTAACTTCAAAAATCCCCAGTATTAATAGTTAGAATAATGTTCAAAAGTCAAAGTCTCTTAAAACTCAAGATAAATTTTAAACAAAAAACAAGTTACATACTTCCAATGGGCAATGGCACAGAGTAAACATTCCCATTCCAAAAAGAAGAGGATTGCAAGGAAAGACAGGACCAACCAGAACTACAACCCAGTTAGGCAAATAGCAAACTCTGGAGCTCTGTGTCCAACATCCAGGCCTCGTAATGGCGTCATCTGAGCTCCTGTGAGCGTGAGCAGCCTTGCCTCTACAGCCCTGTTGCCTGTAGCACATATGGCTGTCTCTTAGACTGGCTTCACTCTGTTTCTACAGCTTTCCTCATCAGATGTCCCATATTCCTGGCATCTCCTGTGGTCACCATTGAAATTTAGGCTTCTTCACCTTCTCAGTGTCACACATCAGCTCTCAGGGCCTCTCTTCAGTTACTCCAACCCTGCTACATATTACCTGGCCCCATCATATTTTTCTGGAACCTTGCTGTAAACCTCTATAACCCTCTAACTGTTGCTTTCTATGTACCTGCAAAACAGCACCATGTGGATGATGACAAGTTCTGCTGCCAGCTTGAGATATACCATAGCCCTCCATGAGCACAGCTCCAGTGGCCTCCAAGTGCCTGCACAGCAAATCAAGGAGCACATTTTCCTGTATAGCCCCTTTGAAGCAGGATGTCTGTTCAGTGGCACTCTTTGTTCAGGCTTTTTTTTTTTTTTCTTTAATCAGGCATCCTCATTTCAGGTGGGTTTAAACTTCTATACCCTGCAATGGGTGGATCTCATGAAAGGTCTGTGGTTTCTTTTTAAAGTCTGTGGGTTTTTTTGTCCTTTCCTACCTTCTCAGCCCAATCCATAGCTTTAAAGGTACTCGTGCTTTCAAATTGCAGTTTTTTACATCCTCCTGCTCCAGTTTTGGTTTTGAATTCTTACTGTAAACATAACTAATTGCAGCAAGCAGTAACCATGCCACAACCTGGATGCTATGCTGTCTTGAAATATCTTCTTCCACACGAACAATTCCATTACCTTTGAATGTAGCCTCTCTCAAATTTTCAGGGTCAGCAGAACTCAGTCAGCCCCTCTACACACACACACCCTAGTGGCCTCTGGCCCAATTCCTGAGTTCTTGTTCCACCTGAAAGCTCATGAGTACTATCTTTGCTATCTACATTCCTGTTGGCATTCTGGTCTTGTGTGCCCCGATTAGAATGTTCCACTAAGCTCTGCTTACAGTATTCTAGGACTTCTCTAGCCAGTAGCTTCCACATTTCCACATTCCTCCCACAAACCTGTTCCAAAGACCTCCTATCCACTTGGTCAGCTTTATCACAGCAACAACCAACTTCCCATTCCAATTTTCTGTATAAATTACTTTTATGTTGCTGTGACAGAATACTTAACAGAAGCAAGTTAAGGGAGAAGGGTTTTTTTTTAGTTCACAACTCAGAGGATATCATCCATCACGGGAGACACACAGCTCAAGTTTAGGGCAGAGAGAACAGGAGGAATGTTAACCTGTCTGCAGCAATGTGGCTAAAGAAACAGCCTCACTGGAAACACACAGCCTAAATGGCCTGCCCTCATCTACATATTTCTTCTTTCATTGATCTAATACAGGACTGTATTAGAGATTTGAATCCATTTTTTTCTAGACTCTAGTCTGAATCAAGACTCCGTTTCTTGTTAGTGTTGTGACTTTGAGCCAATTCCCTAATTTACTTGACTATATCAGTCTCTTGACCTATAAACATGGGGTGTTGTGGTATGGAATAAATAAGTTGTTAAACAGAAAATGCTTAGGAACATGCTTGACACATAGTGACTTTAGGGTTAAACACTATGAAAATAATCATTTTGATAATATTGAACTATATTTACCACATTTTGACTGTTGAAATAACATAAATAAAAGTGTGTGGAGTACAATGCACTCCTCATGCCACCTCCTACTTCTCCTCCACAGCATTACCCACTGATACTAGTTTGAGGTATATCCTTCCAGAACATTCCTATATCACTGAAAACTTTTTAAAATTATCCTTTCATTAGTAAATTACAAGTTTTGCAGTCTTCTGAAGATGGGCAAGTGGAGAGGTAGGAAGACCAGCATTTATTTATGTAGCTAACATTTTTCAAGTGTCTGCTTTGTGCCAAGCATTCCACCACAAAGTGCTGGGGATTCGGTGACTGTTAAAACACATGAACTTCTGTTTGGAACATCTGTTGATTTTTGTTTGTTTGTTTCATTTAGGATATGATGTTTCAGCTTCTCCGAGGTCTGGATTTTCTTCATTCTCACAGAGTAGTTCATCGTGATCTAAAACCACAGAACATTCTGGTGACCAGCAGTGGACAAATAAAACTGGCTGACTTTGGCCTTGCCCGCATCTATAGTTTTCAGATGGCCCTTACCTCAGTGGTGAGTAAGAGAATACTCTCTTTTTCTTAAGCTTTGTTTTCCTGTTTTAAATGACAGGCTGTCTCCTTTCGTGCTCCTAATGTTATTTCTGCCCACAGTTTGCACTTTCTTATATAGCAGTGGGTAAGAGAAAAGTGATTTGCTTACAACTACAGACACATCCGGCTGGGTTTGTTGTGGATGGGAACCCATTACAGAAATAGCCTGTTGGCATCTTGGCCACTAGAAAGGAATTAAAAGCATTTGCTTTTTGCTGTAACTGTTGTTTTTACAGCTGAGTAGATAATGATAGGGGAACACATAGCTCAGGGTTAGGTAGAGAGGGCCAGAGGAATGTCACCTATCTACAGCAAAGTGGCCTGAGGAACAGTCACAACATCTGCACAGGTGGGATAAAGCACATCACAGAAGCTGTGATGCCGGCTGGGAAGGGAGAAATTAACTTGACAGTGAACTTGAATGACCCCTGAATAAGGAAGGCATGGCACTACCCTGCCAGGTGAAGAGCAGACTCATATGAGCCAGAGTAGAGCAAACCCAAAGGCTGCGTTTTGGCAAAGAATGATGGTTAAGATTTCCTGTTCTTTGTCTCATTCAGATACAGAATCATAATAGCTGTTGACTTTGGTTAGCCTCTGTTCTCCTAATTGTTCATGGTGTGATGAATTTGTGTTAAATTCTACATTCAGACTACAAGAGGATCAGTGTGGTAGTAGCTGTTAATAATGCTTTTTTTTAAAAAAAAAAATCCTGCTTTATGTAAATTTATGAGTACACAGAAAAAGCAGGCAGTGTTCCTTCACTTTGTTACTGCTTTGGGGCAGGAGATGGATGCAGAGTCTCTTTGATTTGGCAAAGGCTATAGACATGCTACCCTCAAAATATTAACTTAGACCTTAGGAAAAAGAATTCATCTTCTGCCTCAATGGGATTCTGAAATCAGGGGCAGCCCTGGCCTGGGTGGGAGCTACTGTTAAAAAATGTGTGGTGGCATCATTGACCATAGTCCTGCTGGGATGGGATGGCTACTTCTGCCATTAAATGTATATGCTCTATGACAACTGACATTCTACACAGCAAAACCATCTCCCCAAGTTCCAGTAATGTCAGCTTCAAAGTGTAAGTTTAGGAGGGAAATAGAAATTATTGAAGACAAGGACCTCCTCAGGAAAATAATTCAACTTACAAAAAATTATTCTGCTTACAGAAAATCATTACAAAAAAGAGGAAAATCATCCTCTTCTCCCCTCTATGCCAAACACAAATACCACAACCTGTCCATGTAAAATTCCTTCCATTCTTCATTCCCAACATTACACACTTTACCCAAGGCATGGGATTTCTCTGGGGGATTCTTTGAAATATGTTGTGTTGTTGAAAGATAAATCCTGCTTGTTTCCTCTTTGCTGTGTATACCAGTGCTTTTGAGAAGATAAGGCCCAAGTTGATATTTAAAGGATAGGCCTCAGCTTTGGGTGGAGTGAAGCAAGCCCTTATATTCTTACATAATCACACCAGAAAGGACTGAGTCTGTGTTTCCCCACTGGGGAGGGTGAGGTAGGCTTCGGGCTTCCCTAGGAAGTTATTGTGCATGCTTTAAGCGGGGCTCTGGGGAAAAGCTTGAATAGACTTTGTGATTGAGGAGAGCCTTCAGGGAGCAGATGAAGGAACTAGTCCTTGGGCACATTCACTGAGGGAAGGATGAGCTGTAACTGAACCGGATACATTATTTTAATCCTCCTAAGTAGGCATTAATAACTATAAATAAAAACAGGAAGCCCAGTTGGGTTTTGTTTTGATTTTTTCTTTGTTAAATTTGTGAGTAACATCAATTAACATTCCATTCTTGCGGAAAGTTGATGTGTTCAAACAGGAAAATGTAGACAAATTATTTCATATTCAGAGAAAAGGGGAATGGCAAATGTAAATATAGGATTTGGGGTATCTGGTCTGTATTATCTAGTCTATATTTCCTACAGTGACATAATAAAAGATGTTAGCAGCTGGGAAAGACTTCATTTGAAAGAATGGTATTTGGGATTTAATGGCAATACTAAAAGGTATGTTTTCTTAAGGGCACTGCATTTAAATTTTTTCTCACTGTTTATATTTTATCTACTTGAAGGAAAAAGTCACATAATATAATGATGATTTGGTTTACGTACACATATAAAAACATAATCACAGTTTTTCAAACTGAGCTGATTGGTAGGTATTTTTAGTATCTCTTGAACAGACCACACTCCACTTCCTCGAAATAAACTTTTTTTCAGTAGATTATGTCACACAAGAACTGTGATCAACTTCGTTTGAAGAATTATAAAAGAATTGAAAGTTAACTGACTTGAGACTCACTTAACTGCTGTGAAAAATATTAGCATATTCCTTTGTTTTCAAAACTTGATTTAAATGGCCTTTTCTGCTTCTCTCCCATCCCACGGAAATTGCTCTTTACTTCCACAAAGTTACTAAAGTAATGTCCCTTTTTAAAAAAAGATTATGGGTGTGGGTATGGGTGGGTGGGTGAAATGTCAGTGTCTTTGTACATGTATGAATCCCTTGGAGCTGAAGTTACAGGCATTTGCAGGATTCTAGGCATGTTATATGGGTGCTGGGATCCAAACTCCAGTCATCATGATTGCACAGCAAGCATTCATCCTCTGAGCTATCTCTCCAGCCCCTAGAGTAATATCTTTAATAACACTGCTTTTTATCTTGTTTGTAGTTGTTTAGGGGTTTTATTTATGAAAGTGTCCTTTTGAAGAGAGATACTGAATCTTACTCACCCTGTTTGTCTTTAATAACACTGCTTTTTATCTTGTTTGTAGTTGTTTGGGGGTTTTATTTATGAAAGTGTCCTTTTGAAGAGAGATACTGAATCTTATTCAGCCTGTTTCCATAGGCATTTAGGAAATGCTTTTTTTAAATTTTTAAAAAATGTTTTGTTTATTTATTATTTTTATTTTATGTGTATGCATGTATTGCCTGCATGTAGGTAAGTGCACCCATGTCACGCAGTGCCTACAGAGGACAGAAGAGGCTGTCGGATCCCTTGGAACTGGAATTACAGACAGCTATTAGCTGCTGTGTGTGTGCTGGGATTTGAACCCGGGTGTTCTGCAAGAACAGCCAGTGTTCTTAACTGCTGAGCGGCCCTGTGGAAATGCTTTTTAATGAATGTGTTAATAAATGCCAACATGTAGACAGATACTTTTGATTCATAATAAAAATAAGAAAGGAATTGCTTATATATTTCATGATCTCAGTAGTCCTGTACAGCTACCTGTTGGTACTAAACTGAAGGTCTTGCTAAAGCATATACCCTAAAATGCCCAATCCCATTTTGCACCATGGTGTTGACTGAGTCATTGGCAAGTATCTCTGGCTGGACAAAGTCGTGAAAAGTAAATGCCATAGTTTGATTTCATGTCAGGAATGAGAGATGGTTTAAACCTAGGTTCATAGATAATTGGCATCTTACATTTATAGTAATCCTCTTTGCTGCCTCATGAATTAATCCCTGTGTGAACTGAACTTCCTGTCTTCAACAGAAGGCTATGGAAATATAGGACTGTGTAATCATTGTAGTTCTACTTATTCGAAGACATTATTTCTAACCCATTGTATTTTGATATTGGAAAACTTCAGAAATTTCATATCCTTCAAAAATAATTAACATTCCCCAAATAAAGGAATAATGAATTATTAGACAGCTTTTACTATTTATTTGCCTGTCTGTTATGATATATATGTAGTCACATTATTTTTTGGACCATTGACAAAGCTTGTATTCTTAAAGTCTTTGCAAAACTTTTGCTATATTCTTACATATAATCTAGACCTTAGAAGTGTAGCTAGCAGTGTTTATAGCCCGCATAGGCCCTGGACCATTGCTCCGTAAATTCTGAACCAGTATGCTCTAGCCACTATTCAAGAACAGGCGTGTTTTTTGGGTTAGTTGAGAAATTAGCTATTATAGACAGGTGAGTTTTTCAAGCATCTTAGCATGTAACCCTTTATGCGCCAATCTTTATTATGTTTTAATAACAGAAATTGTGTTATTTTCATAAGTGGAATATACTCAAAGTTCGTAGTAATTGGCTTAAGACAATCAATGTAAGTCTTGAGTATAGCTGTAGCTATATGTAGGTAATATGTAACATAAGGCCAAATGACTTAGCTTACATAGCCTGATAGAAATTTTTCAGGGGTAAAATGCCCTTTGATGCCTGGCTTTAATGTGCTGTCTCCATTTATGTATCTTTGGGGGATACTGTGTTCCTGCTACTACATATATTATTATGTATATACATGTACCATCCAAAATCAAGGGTTTTACCTATTTCTTTAAATGCCATAAGCTACAAACCTAGGTAACAGGGGCCTCTAATGTGGGCCTCATGGTTTAGAAGAAGCCAATAGCGTGCTCCTATACTTTGCCCTTCATGGGGCATAGAACACAGCATGTGGGGAGATATACCCCAGAGACTTTCATCCTACCTCAGGACATTGGCATTTCCTGACTAAATAGGAGCTACATGGGCTCGTCCTTTCTTTCTCTTAAGAACAGATTTTACCCCCTGTGTGTTGCCCCCTAAAGCCTAGAGGCAGCTGTTGCAGGCATATGGGCAGAATGGACACACAAACTGCAGAAATGCATGTGAGGTCACTTGTGGCTCAAGAAGGAGTTAGAAATATGAAGAAGAGTTGATCCCATTATACCTAGCATCTTATGGGGCTATTTTATCAGAAAAAAAATTCTGACACCATAAACATCAACTTCTATAACCTTTTTCAGACTATTATCTCCTCCTTTAAAATCATCCAAGCGAATAATCATGACAACACACAAATCGTGCTTTACTCCCTGGACTCAAGAGCATATTCAGATATCTTTATACCCAAATGTGAGTGCCAATGCCAGGCAGTAAGGACCAAGTCACTCTGCAGGATAAGTTGCTGTGGATATATTATGGGTAGAGAGAAAGAAGTTTGCACCC